AACACTGTCTCTAAGACCAGACAATAGACAGCCTCCTCCCGGTACATGCCAAGAGGGTAGGCTCACTGCAGGGACCCCCCCTCCCAGGACAGCAAGGAGTAGCTCCCTGCTTGGAAAAGCTCCATATGGCCAATATTTTACCAGAACCCAGCCAAGGCAAGCTCAGTCCCCAGGGCACAGAGCCTGGCAGCAGATCCATTCCCTCTGCAAACATCTGGTGCGTGCACCACGCTAAGGTCGGGATGCGGAGCCATCTTTTGCTGGGAAGGTCCCTCTCCTTCACCTCCCTAATCACTTTCTCAGGGTTTAAGCTTCAGCCTCTACTCCCTCACCTGCCTGTTGATAGTCACGAAACAAGCAGTCGTTTCCCCCGGGGAACTGAGCCTATCTGTAGAGCCTATCTGTCTTTTATTCTTGAAAAGGGAAAAAAAGGCAGGGTGGTGGTGAGGGATAAACTGACGTCATGCGTTTGCGTAGGACAGAGGGGTTGGAGGCCATCTGGAGCAGGTGCTGGCAGGGCCCCTGGGAAAGGAGAAGCAGGGCAGCTGGCTCATCAGGTGGGAGTGTCCTGGGGTCAAAGACCTCATGGCACGATGAAGTTAAGGTTTTCTGGAATTTCTGTCCCGGGAAGGATGGATGATGCTTCCTTGGCCTCTGGCTCCTCTCCTAAAGCCAGGCCCGACAGGTGCAGGACTCCTGGAAGAGGTACCAAGCTCAAGGAGACCTGGCCAGGCTGTGCCTCTGCATCCTCCGTGGGTCCCCACCACCAACAGATCTGGGGAGTCTCAGGAGCACTGGACCCTCCCACCTGGGAGTGTGTCTTGTGCAGTGACATTCAGATCCCTCTTCTGCCCCAGCTGCTTCCTCCTACCTTCGTCTAGGACTCAGAAACCTCTTGTCGGGCCTCCTGACTCATCTGCCCCTATCCAGGAGGCAGGGAAGGCTTTTTCCCAAATACAGATGGTGAAACTGAAGGCTCCAAGCAGTGATGGGATTGGCGAGGGTCCCGCTGCAATTTCCCTGCCGGCCTCCATGAGATCTGCTCACCGCCTGTTCAGTGTCCTCTCTGGGAAGTTATGCTGGAAGGGGGCCCCTGGGATGAAATAATTGCGGAGAAAACAGATGGACAGCAGAGCAATCCTCCCCTCGTCTGTGTGCCTGAGAATCCTCTTCAGGGCCAGGAGGGGGCGCTGTTACACAGGGATCTTGTTTCCCCGCTCCTGGGGAGGGGAGGTGGACAATCCTGTCTTAGCCACCCCTTCCCCAGCCTCCTAAAAGGCCTTATGCGCACCTTTCTCATCTCATCGTGGCCCACTCTTACCTCCTATAGGATCCTGGTAGTGGACTGAACCTCGACTCTGCCCCAGTAGGGCCCATCAGTGGTAGGCACAAAAGTCTTACCTTGCCCTCGTGGAGGAAGGGAAAAAGAGAAGAGGGGCCCACAAGAACAGAGTCTTTTCTCTCCATGTCCTTTCAGAGGTCCAGGAGGGAAAGTCCTAGCTGTGCAACTCTCTGATGCCTGGAGTTTGGCACACCGGCCTGGCTCTGACTTCTCTCTCCCACTCCCTCTCTGTGTCCCCTGACAACTGATCACCCTCCTTCGGCCTCATCTGTCAACCTACTCCCCCAACCTACTCTTGCCTCCTCTGGGCACTCCTACCTGAAGCCCCTCCCCCTTCTTTCCCTAGCTCTGGGCACTCATGTTTTCTTTTACTGCACCCCGCTAAGCCTGGGTGCGTTCCTCCCAGTAGCCCAAAGGGAATCACTCTGTTTTCCATCTGGGTTTCCCTCCTCTCTCCTTTCTCTCCTCCTGCCTGCCGGGTCTCCTTTCCCAGCTCAGCACAGACTTTTCCTTCTCCAGGAAGCCTGCCCTGCTAGCCCAAGCTGGGGGTGCTGTCCTCCCTCCCTGCCATTGTCCTTTTGGGCCTACAAAGCTAGTGCCTGTTGCCTGGGTGGAGGGGTGTCTTCCCTGCCAGGATGGAACCCCACAGGCTGCACGGATGCTCAGTGAATACTTGGGGAATCAGTGGATAGATAATTGACAAACGACAAGATTCCCTACAGAACTGCCAGGCTCCTGAGGCCCAGTGGCCTTTTCTCTCTCCTTTGCCATTAGGAGGAGTTTTCACACTGAGCGTTCAATAAAGTGCCACAAACAGTTCATGTTCAGCGGCTCAGTGGGTCCAACTTTCCCAGGCCTGGCCCCTGGGGCCAGAGCAGGAAGGAGCAAACCTCATGAGCAGAAAGCAGGGAGAAGTGACCTGGGCCCCCAGTCTAGGCCTAAGGGAGAGAGAGAGCCTTCTCTGCAGCTTCCTGGGCAAAGAAACCAAAGAGGAGTTGAAACCTTCAGTTGCCAAGGCGGTCATGCGCTGGTTCTCTCCTTCCCTGAAGGCCCCTCCAGCATCATCCTCCCACTTCTACCCATCCCACCTCCCAAGCCCAGGCTAAGCAGGAGCTGCTCCATGGTCTGCCCCAGGGAAGCCTCATGCCGCAGTTAACTCTTCCAGGATCTGATCTGCCCCAAATGACCACAGGCCAGTGGTCAGAAGTGAGGGCTCACCAGAAGATTCCTCTTCCAAAGAGGGGAGGTAGATTCCCAGGTGTTGGTTCTGTCCACACTGGGGCGGGGTCAGTTTATTGTATTTAGTCTCAAAGCTCAAAGAGAGAGGAGACCTAGATGGTTACCCAGCTGTCACCAAGAAGACAGGAAGAACCAGCCTACAGATATTCGGACAGAAGGAGGTGCCCATGGGACACTGGAAGCTCCCAACCTGTCCTCAGTGAGGGGTTTCAGAGGATGTACCTCTTGCCCCCTGGAAACCAGTCCAGTGCCTGGCTCAAGAATCAATCTGGGGCTTCCCTGGTAGCACAGTGGTTGAGAATCCGCCTGCCAGTGCAGGAGACACGGGTTCGACCCCTGGTCCGGGAAGATCCCACATGCTGCGGAGCAACTAAGCCCCTGCGCCACAACTACTGAGCCTGCGCTCTAGAGCCCGCGAGCCACAAGTACTGAAGCCCGTGTGCCACAACTACTGAAGCCCGCTCACTCTAAGGACCGTGCTCTGCAACAAGAGAAGCCAGCGCAATGAGAAGCCTGCACACCGCAACAAAGAGTAGCCCCCAGTCTCCACAACTAGAGAAAGCCCGCGGGCAGCAGCGAAGACCCAACACAGCCATAAATAAATAAATAAATTTATTTATTTATTTAAAAAAAATCAATCTGCCTGGCTCCTTAAACCTGTATAAACAAAGCAAGTCTCAAAGAAGTTCCAGATTGGTAACATTCCTCTTCGTCCAGTAGACAAAGAGGAGAGGGGACTTCCATCGTCCACCTGGAGCTCCCTCCCTCTTTCCCTTCTTATACCTCTTCCTTTCTCCTCAAATGAAAGAGTGGTGCCCCTCTATGGGTGTTACCATGCGGAGGCAATCAGGCTGGCTGCCCGGAGGTGATGAGTCAACTCACACAAAGGATGCCCTGCTGATGTCTGGATCATCTTGGAGTTCAGGAAATTCTGCTACCCCAAACTCAGGCCTCTGGTGTAGGTTATTTCCTAAACAAAGGGACCCGCACTTTCCAGCGCAGAATGCCAGGGTGGGGAAGAGAAAGCAGATGGTTTGGCATTGCCTCCCGGCTCTGGGCTCAGGCTTTGCTGTGGGATCCACCGCATGACACTTGGTTCTCCCGGCCCCTCTTGATTCCTGTGGCGTTCCCGCGGGGGGCGCAGCTTCCTTTCCTCGCAAAAGGTCGTCCAGGTGCCTCCAGCCCTCAGGGTAGTCTTGGTGCTTGGGGTCCGCAAGCACTCCCCTACTCTCCGCTGTCCAGCCGAGTCCCCTGCTGCGGAGGCAGTGCAGTCATAGATTCCTGCATCTCACTCAATTCTTACGGTTCTCTGCCTCTGCGGCCCATCCCGAAGGACTCCTCAGAACCCGAGGGACCGAGACGCCCTGCCCAAGGAGAGCAAGTCGTGAGCAGCAGCGATACTTGGGCGTGTTCCGACAACTATGGTAGGGACCACTCTGAGGCAGAAAACACGAAGGCGACCACCTGTTATGGCTCACAGAAACCAGACTGGGCTCAGGGCTGGGTGAAGCTCGCTCCCCAGACTGTGCAGGTGCACAGGCCACTGGAGCGGACAGCCACACGCTGCGGATCCTCGAGTGGGTGCAGTCGAGGTCAGGCGCGCACCCGTCGGTGCAGAAGGAAGCCATCTGGCGGGTCAGACCCGGGGACGTTCTGTAGGGCCGGCCCGGGCTGAGGGCGCACTTAGAGCCACAGCGGCGGGCCCAAGATGCTGCCGCACACACGCATGAACCCTCGCATCTCGTTCGCGTTCCGCTCCCAAACACACCCGCAGGCGAAAAGCTCTCACTGTCCGGTGAAGGACTTGCGCTCTCCCCTGCGGCCCCGGGCAAAACCCGCTCTCTCTGTGCCTACCTCCCGGACCTCTGGCCCCATCCTCTGCCTCCCCAAGCTAAAGGCGTCGGTGCGATCTGAATTACTGTCCCGGCGAGCAGGTGAAAGGTGGAGCCGCAGCGCCAGGCCTCGCGCCTGTCAGGTGCCCCGGGAAGAGATTGGCAACAAGGCAGATCTGCGTGGATTTCGGGCTGTGCCAACTTTCTGGCTGTGTGACTTTGGGCAAGTTACTTAATTCCTCTGAGCCTATCTTTGCACTTGCAAAGAGGGAAACTGATCCTTTCCAGGAAGAGCGTGTGTGCTGAGGTCCAACCTTGTGCGCAGGGCAGCGGGCGCACAAACGCTTGGCATGCCAGAGCGCGCTCCCTGCAATTCGAGTTCCCTTGTGCGCGCCGCTTTGCAGCTTGGAGCGCAGTCGGGAGAGAGCCCGCCGAGCCGCGGGATCCCTCCGGGGTGGGATGAGGCGGGGGGGCAGAGGGGGAGCCCCCGCGGACCCCTCCCGGCCCTCGGCGCGAGTGCCATTGGCCCGGGCGGCCCTGTGGGCGGGAGGATGACATCAGCGGCAGGTTGGATTATAAAGGCGCGAGCGGAGCCGCGGGCTCAGAGCGCACCCAGCCGGCGCTGCGCAGCACTGGGACCCGGACCCGCACCCGCGTCGCAGCCCGGCCAGCCTGCTCCGCGCTCGCCTGCCCGTCTGCCCGTCTGCCCGCCGGCCCCGCGCACCCTTGCTGCCGCCGGTCTGCGCCCAGCCACCCCACGGGCACCATGCACCTCTCCCAGCTGCTGGCCTGCGCCCTGCTGCTCGCGCTACTCTCGCTCCGGCCCTCCGAAGCCAAGCCCGGGGCGCCGCCGAAGGTGGGTGCTGTCGCAGGGACGTCGGAACTGTGAGGGGCGGTGGTAGGGCTAGGGGGTCTAGGAGGGTGTGGCCCGCCGGAGGGAGCAGAGGGGGCGGGAAGGCGGCTCTCTCTCTCCCCTGAGACGTGCGCGGGTGAGAGCTGGAGAGCCCTCGAAGCCCGGACTCGGGAGAGCATCGACAAATGCGCAGCCTCTGCCTCAGTGTGGTCAGCCCGGCAAGGGGCAAAGGAGAGGAGGGCAAGGGGCTCCCCGAAGGAGCGGACATCGGCGGCCGCGTGGCAGGTGGATGCAGGGCCGAGCCGTCCGGCACCTCTGGGGGTGCTCAGGACTCGAAAGGACAAACCGCGCTGGCCGGAGTGTCGGGCTGGAGCATCAGCGGCCCCGCAAAGTCCCCCGCGCTGCCGCGGTGCGTCCCTTCACCTGCCCGTTCTTTCTGTCTGACAGGTCCCGCGCACTCCGCCAGGGGAGGAGGTGGCCGAGCCCCAGGCTGCGGGAGGAGGTCAGAAGAAGGGCGACAAGACTCCCGGGGGCGGCGGCGGCGCCAATCTCAAGGGCGACCGGTCGCGACTGCTCCGGGACCTGCGCGTGGACACCAAGTCTCGGGCGGCGTGGGCCCGTCTTCTGCAAGAGCACCCCAACGCGCGGAAATACAAGGGAGGCAACAAGAAGGGTTTGTCCAAGGGCTGCTTCGGCCTCAAGCTGGACAGGATCGGCTCCATGAGCGGCCTGGGATGTTAGTGCGGCGACCCCTGGCGGCGGTGAGTACTACCAACCCCGGCCGCCGGGAGCTCTTGCACACCCAGCTTCCCGTGAAGCCCCCCAGAACCAAGCCTGCACCCCCTCCCGCAGGCCGGCTCCTCTCTGATCCCCTGGACCTTTCCGCCTCCCAGTCAGGCCATCTGGGCACAAGATTGAGTGTGTGTGCTAGACATTTGTCCCCAACACCATTTATCATCCCATTTTACAGATGGAGAAAGTGAGGGATAAAGTGGTCAGGGAACTTTGGCAAGGTCAGAAATGGCTCAGCATGGATGGACCCACCTGGCTCCCTCTGGAGAAACAGAGACAGCTCGGGGGGGGGGGGGTGTGGTCCCACCCACCCCAGGGCCATAAGGCAACCAGCAACACTGACCCCAGTTCTCCAACTGGGGGAATTGAGGGCTGCTCCTGGGTTGGTGGGAGCAGAGGAGGAAAGGCATACATACGAGTCAAGGGTAAGTTGATCTGCTAGCCACTGCATCATGGTGCTGGGCAGTAAGCAGCCCAGTGGTCAGGACAGCTCCCTGGGTCTGTTGTCTCTGTAATGGGACAGACTTGGAGCGATACCTGCCCCCTCAAGGTAGGGAGAATAGCCACTTGTTAGCATCACCAGGGGGCATTTCTGCCCCAGAGCATTCTGATTCTTGTCCCTTCTCTAAGCCATGGCGGTGGGCAAACTGGTCTGTCCAGGGTCCTGACGCTGCAGCAATCCGTGTGACTTCAGGATCGAACCTCAGTGTTCGTGGCACTATTTTAGGGCCAGGAAAAAGAAACTAAAATAATCTAGTTTTTTGCCCCAACCTGAAACTCAACATGTCCCAAACTGAGCCCCCCCCCCCCCCCCCCCACCATGCCTAGGCTCCATACCTGCGTTTCTGGTATGGCCTCCTCCGCCTCCACCAGGCTGGAAACCCCTGTGCTACCTTCAGCCCCGGCCGGGTGCTGCACCCCTGGCAAGGTACAGCGGCAAATGTCCTTCCCTCCCCTCTCCACTCCCCTCCATTCCTGCTGCCCATCAGTATCCGTGGAGAAACAACATCCCAACCTCTGGAACTGACTTTCAAGTGATTTCGAACCTGACCTCCTGGTGTCCAGCCTTGCCTGCAACCAGCTGCTGTCATTCCCTGTCCCACAGTCTTTCTGTCCCACTGCAGGCCAAGCTGTGTTCTCTCATCCCAGAAGCCTTATCAATGTCTACACTGTCTTCCCCCAAAGGACAAGAGCGCCCATCTTTGAAGGTCTCCAGTGCAATGCCTGAGCCTTTTTTACTACACAGAAAACTTTTTCACCTGAGCTATGGTTGTTGGTGAACCTGTTTACCTCCCCAAATTAACTCATGAGCAACTTAAGGGCCGGACACTAGCCTAAGATGAACTGGGGCCTGCAGGATGCCCAAAGGAGCTCTTTAAAATGTCTGTCAATGACCCGGAAAACCTGCCCCACCCAGCTTAGGAGCACTCCTCGCCCGCCTGCCCTAGCATTTAGCTGGTGTCCTTCCTCTCTGCAGCCAGACTTGGCCAGGCTGTGTGCTCCTCCTGCAGGGGCTTCGCTTGTCTGAGATCTTGACTTGTCATGATTCTGGCACTGGTGGACCAGCCTTTAGAAGCTACCGTTGTGATGGGTTTGTTCTGTTCTCTCCTGTCTCAACAGTGAAGAGGTGGAGGAGCCACAGGCGTCAAATTTTCAATCTGTGAATTAAGCACCAAGTTCAAACTTCAGAATCCAAACAGAGGTTGTTCTATGAGTTAGCAGGAGATAAGGTCCTAGAAAGTGCCTGGCATGCACATCCCCATAGACCCCTTGTTGTTGGATGAGGCTGTCTGTGGGTACCAGGTATTCGTGGAGAGAGGTACTCCACAGGTGGAATCCAGGTTGCTAATGCTTCTTGACCCCTTTGACGAGGGAAGCTTGTCAACCTCCTGGAAGTTCTCTTTTAGCTGAATGCCCACCTCCACCACCTTTAACCTTCTCAACCCCATCCTCACCCCCAGCCCCGTGAGAAGGCAGAGCATCCTTCCTATTGCCTGCAACCTCCTAGTGGAGATGCCCAGGGTATCTCACTGTCTGGGCTTAAAAGAGAAAGACAGCTTAGGGTTTTCCCATTAATGAAAGCTCTTCTGAGGCTGTGGCCATTTGTCTATACAGGAGTTGACTTTGGCTCTAACCAGCTGCCATAATGACTGTCGCTGATGGTTATAGCCTTGATTATAAAATGCTGATGGCAGCGATGAGGTGTGGAGGATGCCTGAATGAACCCGTTGCCCATGGGGCCCAGAGACATCACAGACATCTGTCCTCTGTTTAAACATGTGGGACGGCAGAGAAAGGGGTTGAGGAGGTTCATCAAGGCCTTGAGGCCCGGGGTCCCTCTGCCAGGACTGTCCTCTGGAAGGGCACCACCCTGTCTCAGGAGGAAGCCTTCCTCTGGCCCCCGAACACCCACACACCCATTGGCAGAGACTGGGTGCAGCCCTCATCAAATGACTCTGCCAACTCACGAGCCAGCAAACCCAGCACGACCACTCATTTCCCCAGGGCCGGTGTGACACACCATTTCCTCTGATTCTGAAGGGGACCCTTTCTGAGGAGAAGCCAGCTGGGGAAGGAAGTGCTATTTATGGGCAGCTGTGACCCAGACACTCTGCCAATGCCCAGTGTGTGGCCCGCTGTTGAATCTTAAAGCCAGCCCTGGGAGGTGGCTATTATTCCATTTTATGGGTGAGGAAAGCGATACTCAAAGCTATGCATGGCCATCCAGGAAGTAATATTCAGTTGGGACTTGAGTCCAGATTTCCCAAATCTTCAGATGCTTCTCTCCCCCTTCCCTCCGCCATCCCCCAGACACGTAAAGCACCTGACGGAGGGTTTGTATTGTAGCAAAAAATAGAGGTGGGCCGGGGGTGGGTGGCAGGGCTTCACTTTCCATTCCCTTTCCCTCACTGTGTCTCACTGAGAGCCAAGGACAAGGCCTGCACTTAGTCAGAGGGGGAGGAGGGCTGGCTGACTTTCTGGTTCCACCTGTGCTGGGGCAGGAAGTGCCAAGGACACAGCAGGCGATGGATGAGGGCCTGGAGAGGCCCGGAGTGGAAGGCCCCTTTTTCCTCTGCAGGAAGGCCTTCATCAGGGCCTGTAGGGCGAAGGTGGAGGCATTTTGCCTCCTGCTACAGCGGGAAAGGGAGGAAGGTTCTAGAAGTGCGCTGTAGGCTGGGCTTTCTCAGCTGAGTGTCCCTTGGCCCCTCTGTGTTTCAGGATTGGGAACTTGCTCCGTTTTGCTGAGGTCATCCTTGGTCATCAGCCTCCCAGCATCTGGAAGCACCTCCAGCGCAATGTGGCTATTACATTTCTTTTTTTTTTTTTCCTGGTACTGGGAATACACAACACCAGCTGTTTTATTATTATTTAGGGAGGGGGGTATGACTTTATTGTTTGTTTATTTTTTAATGAAAAATAAAAAGTTATATATTATATATATTATATACACAAAACACACACACCTACACCGACGTGATGACAAGGGACAGTTTTTAAGAGACTGACAAAACCAGCTGTAAAACATTGCTGTTTGTAAATTCATGTCATGCATAAATGTATTTATGTTGTAAAGCTATTTATATTGTTTATAAAGAGATATTTATAAAAATTTTATTTATGTAACTAAATGAAAGAAGTCAATCATTGTAATGTTTTTGTCTTAACTAGTTGAAAAATGTAAAAAAAAGTCATTCCATGAACATCTTGAAAGCTGTCTTTATTTACTCATTGCACCTTTTTTTAAGAATTAGTCTGAGAAGGAGGGAGAATGCGGAAACAAGGCTTTTGCCTCTAAATAGATCTAGCAGCCCGTTCCCAATTCTGGGTTGATTTGTATCAGAATCCCCCAGGAATCTTGTTAAAAATACAGATTCCTGCCCCTATCCACCCTCGGATCTACTGAATCTGACCTCCAGGGGTAGGACTGGCCATGTGGCTTTTGTCCCAAGTGATTCTGACCAGCTTGGCCAGGTCAGGAAGCTCTGCTCAGAGCACTGGACAGCTGAGAAGTCAGATGTGGTGAATTAAATTAAAACTGAATTTAGCTGACTGAGGGCCCTCTAATTCTACTCCATCTTCTCTCTGTTATTAAAGGAAACAAATCACTGAAAACTTCCTTTCTGCTTTGGGGAGATTTAGAAGGTTTCCATATATCTTGCGGAATCTGGTCTGGTTACCTTATGAATCTCAGCTCCGGGAAGCATGGGGCGGGTCGCTTTTCCTCATAGCACGCCCCAGGCTCAGTGGGGGCCTGAGGCCAAGGATCTCAGAAAGAAAGAGAACGTATTATCAGGTTTCCTATTTGCATAGCGCAGTTGGGGGGTTTGTGTGTTTTCTTTTCACCTGAAGCTGCTAACAATTACGGTTCCTACGGAGTCTTGCATGAGAAATTATGACTACTTAGAATCTCTTTTCCTGAAACCAGCAGGAAACTTAAATAATTCCGAGCTAATCTCACCCCATCCTTGGTACGTGACTCTCCTGTGCAGCTCCCCCATCTGTCTTCTGTCCCTCGTTTGGTGAAAACAAGGACTAAAAGAGCCTTTGGGGCTGGTTCCACCAGGCGAGCATGACCCCTCTCAGGGGATTGGGAGCGGAGTGGCCCCAAAGGCGTGGGGTCAGCAGGCCTAGCCGAGTATCTCCAGAGGAAGTTTGGCTCTGGTGGGAGGGGAGGTGGCCAGTGGCACCTGGGTTTTCTGCTGGCATCCGAGCCCTGACCTCTGTTCCCTCAGCAGCAGGTTCTCAGGCGGGTCAGCGGCCGACACCGTGACCTCACCTGGGTGAGGAAAGAGCTTTGAAGACATGTTCCAGCTGGGGAAGGCGCGCCCTTCCCACGCCTCAGCTTCCGCCACTGCCCCAGGGCCCTTCTCTGGGCTGAGCTCTCTAGGGTGTGGCTATCTTCCTTCTCTCAGCCCGCTTCTGTGGCTCAGAACTCAGGTGCCAGGTCAATGAGGGTGAGGGCCTCCAGCACCCAGGGCCCGCCGGTGCCTCCGTTCACTGTGCTGTTTGCAGGCCCCGTGTCGGGGGGTGCTGAGGGGCGCTGCAGGAACAGGAAGGCGGTGGGAACACTGTGGGCTTTGCCGGTGGTGAGGCAGGCACATTTTCCGAAGCCCAGAGACAAAAGGGGCGGAGAATTCTGGGATTCAGGGAGCCGCCACCAGAAGCTCAAGCTTTTCTCCGTGGACAGTATCTGGGTTGCCAGGATCCTCGGGCCCAAGCGACACATGCTCTCCTCCCAAGTAGCTCTCATCCCCGAATTAGCTGCAAACAACATGCACTGTTGCCAGTTCAGCCTCCCGCTGGTGGAGGCCAGCCCCTCAACCTGTTGGCGTGGGACATTGCTAGAAGGCAAGTCCTCCTTGACCTCCAAACCTGAAGTCCTCCGACTGCTTCCTCGGCAGCAACGGGGACACGTCATCCCAGCCACGAGTTTCTGCTGGAAAGCCGGGGAAGGATCAACAGAGAGTCCATCAGTACCAGGAAAAGTTTTGAAACCTCCAGAGATTACCCGGGAGGTGGTATTGCACAAGGCTTCCAGTCCTCCGGGCTGTGTCTTGGGGCTCATCCCTCTGCACGAGCAGCTCGCCTCCAGAGCTGCTGGAGAACCTGCAGCTTCTCTCACCGGGGTGAACACAGCAGCCAGGACCAGCTCAGGGGATGGGCCTCACTGGAGCCCTGGTCCTCGGGACAGGGCGGGTACCCCTGCAGTGTCAGACAGTTCACTGCGAAAGACCAACAGGGTTAGGCAGAGGCGAAGAGAGATACAGGTGCTGGAAGGCCTCAGGCCTGGGGGTGTTCCGGAGGAAGCCATTCCCTTCCCCGAAGCACTTGGTTATTGGGGAGTCAGGGTGGGGAATGGGGGAGTCTGCCTGGTTGAGCCTCCCTGGTGCTACAGCTGGTGGTATGTAGGAGCCTGGCTTGGCAGGCCTGGGCCCAGGAACCCCCCCTTGGGCTCCCGAACACACCTGGAGGAGAGGCCCCGTCTCTCGAGCCCATGCCAGGGAGGTACCACACTGCCCCTACCATGGAGGTGAGGCAGAGCGTCCAGGTCCCCAGCCAGGCAGGTTCCAGGGGTCTGCCTTCCCTCCTCTGCCTGAGATATGAGAGGTCCTCCCCGGTGCCAAACGGGCGGTCCAAAATGGGGCTGCACACAAGCAGAGGGGCCACGATATCTGGACACGGTCAGAGCCCTGCTCTTCCATAGGAAGAGCTCTTAACCCAGGCGGGTGGTAGGGGACAGACTGAGGAGCCCCAACCCCAGTTAGGGAGGGAGAAAAGTCAGGGTCCCGTCAGAAATGGGATTTGACTCAGACGTTTTACATGAAGAGGCTTAACCGAAGGAACCATCTACAGAGGTGTGGGCCGGTGTGACGGAGGAGTTGGTGGGAAGCCCGGGATGAAGGGAGAGACTGTCCTGGGGTTGGAACCGTGCCACGGTGCAGGGTGGGATGTGGGAGAAATACCCCAACTTCTCTCCCCACCCCGCCCAGCCTCTCACTGGTGCCTCCAATTGGCTAAACCCACCAGGAGCCAGCCAGCGGGGGAACCCGGGTCAGGTGGCCTGCAGGAGTCGCCTGCCAGGGTGGGTAGGGTGGGAGGCAAACAGAATCACAAAGCACAAGAGGGATTTGGCTTGAGGCAGGGGTCCGGCACCTTCCTCTAGCAGGGATGGGGGAGACCTGCAGCAGGTATGGGGCTGATACCACCTCCCTGGCGGCAGCTAATTGTCTTGAACGCAGGAGACACAGGATTGACTGAGTCCGAAGTGTGGGCACTGCGTGACCGGCGGCTCCTGTTCTAGGAGGTGCCCCACATTCACACCTTTACTGAGCTTGGCTGGAGGGTCACTGACGCTCCCTCCACACCACCTACACCATCCACATCCCTCCCTCCATGCCCCACTGAACACTGATAATCATGTTGGAAAAATGTGATTTTTTTCTATTTATCCTTATAGTTTTTCTTTTTATTGTTATTATTCTTTATAATTGACTTACAATATTATATTCATCCCAGGTGTACGACATAGTGATTTGATATTCTTATACATTACAAAATGATCACCACGATACATCTAGTTACCATCTGTCATCCTACAAAATGATTACAATATCACTGACCATATTCCTTATGCTGTATATTACATCACTGTCAATTATTTATTTTATAGCTGGAAGTTTGTACCTCTTAATCTCCCTCACCTATTTCACTCATCCCCCCACACCCCTCCCCACCAGCCACCACCAGTTTGTCCTCCATATCTATGAGTCTCTTTCTGTTTGTTGCGTTTATTCGTTTATTTTTGAGATTCCACATATAAGTGAAACCATACGGTATTTATTTATCTTTATATTTTAATAGTCATATAGCTGTTATTTATTCAGTACATAAAGGTTCACTATTAATATAAGTATTAGATAGGAAATGTGAGGTTATGCTGCAGTAACAAACAACCACCAAAATGCAGCGGCTTAAAATATTTATTTCCTGTTTGCACAAAGTCTATTATGGAGCTGAGCGGTCCTTCGGGGCAACTCCGTACCATACAATGGCTCAGCGTTGCACCCCCAAATCAAGGAATTTTTCTTCAGTTGATGCGACATGGAAGAGAGCCTGCTGGGAGGTCAAGCAACCAGGGGCTTCTACCCAGACAGGATGCCTGAGACTTATAGTCCCACTTAATTGGCCAACCCAAGTCACGTGACCATGCCCTACTTTGAGGGGCTGAGGAAGTGCAGTCCTCCCTCGTGCCGAGAAATGGCGGAGACCTGCACTTTACCGAGCAGGAGCCAGCGCCCTACACCCATACGTAGCCACCACTTAGAGTTCCTTCGCTGTGTGCCATACACTCCCTAGGAAATTCTACTTTATCTGATGTGAACGTTATCAGCCCTACTTTATTTTTATTTGTGCTTGATATCTTTGCCCAAGCCTTGATTCTTTCCCTCGCTGGTATTTTTTTTTTTTAGGTGTGTTTGTAATGTATTAGATTAAAATATATGTAATTTAAGACGTTCTGCCTTTTAATAAGAAAACTAGATTGTTCACATTTATTGTCATTATTGCTCATGCTTGGCCCAACTTCTTTATCTGAATTTCGACTTTGTGTTTTTAAGGTTCTTTAAATTTTTTGTTCCTTTTAATTGAATTTTTTTTCTTCTGTAGACTATGGTGCTTGCTTTAATCTTCTGTAATGATTTGGAAACTAGACATCCTGTTTTTAATTGTTAGTGGTTCCATTTAGTTTTTCATGAAAATTATTAAACCCACATTTATATTATTACCAAAATCACAAACAATAACTTTGAGCTCCTTCACAAGAGAGACAAAGAATTTAGCCCATTTGCTTCTTCCCTGACCTCTTCTGACCTTTCTGGGTCTCCATTAACATAATCTGAGGACAGTCTCCTTTACTGGACTGCTACAACCACCAAAACATCCTCACTCCAAAATACCTTCAGCTTTCTTTTTGTTCCCCCATGTCCATCAGATATTTTGACTTTCCACTCTAACGCCCTTCTCCAGACATGGCCCCACTGCACACATCTTAGTCTGGGCTGGTTTCTCTGCCCGCTGCCTCCTCTCCATGGCTGCCCGGGCCCCTCCCACGGGTGTGAGGTTTGAATTTCAGCCCCTGTGCTGGGGTGTGTG